TGTTTTGAGGCATTAAATGTTTTTCACTGTTCTTTGTCTGTAACTTGTTTTCCCTCCAATCTGTCATGTTTTTACGGGAGCTGGTGTCTGCTGGGATGTTGATCAGTCCGCAAACCTCTCAGTCGTCATTTTTCCTGCTACATTCCAGGTACTTGAAAGCAGCACACCGGAAGTGCTGCCGGAGTCACGTGAAACAGCTGCGCAGCAGTAAGAGGGTCTGACAGCGCGCGGGTCCAGCTGTGAAGTGTTTCGTCATGGGTCTGGAGGCCTGGTACATGGACGGGTCCGAGGAGGACCAGAGGAGGCCGCACAGGCTGGAGCCGCACCAGCCGGTGAGCCTGGAGCAGCTGAAGGAGCTCGGAGTGTTTTACTGGCAGGTGAGTCTGCAGAAGGCCGCTCACGTGTGCAGGTTTTCGGGTTAAAGGTCAGCGGTTCCTGGGTGGGAGTTTGTGCAGACCCTTGATCCCCAGCTGGACCGAACAGCTCAGAGTTCTCGGGTTTGAAGCAGGTAAAACTATGTGCTGAGGCTTCAGCTGAGACACAGCAGGTATCAGTGGTCACTGAGCTGAAGCTGCTCTCGAGCACCCGTGTTTTCTGCACAGAGCAGGTGTTACAGGTCACGTGCTGAGCACCTGAAGTCCAGATACCTGCACTGTGACGCACCTTACCCATGTAACTCTGACCAAGAAGGGCGTGAGTGATGCTGGGGTGTATCGTCATGGTAACTGATACTGGAACCACTGATGTGCTTTTTACTTTTTCTGCCACACTAAACACATCAGGTAAGGGTTTGACTGCTTCCTGTTTCCTGCAGCTGAACGCCGACATCTATGAAAGCGACCCGGAGCTGCAGCAGATCCGTAAGGACCGGGGTTACTCCTACATGGACATCATCACGATCCACAAGGACACTCTGCCCAACTACGAGGAGAAGGTAACCCACACGCTCTGAAAGCTGCAAGTACCAGCACGTGTTTGTGTCTGCGGAGATTTTAATTTGAAAAGCACCACACTTCCTTTTTTAGGTTTTTCCCTGCAGGGAGGGAAAAGTCCTCTGAGCTTCTTCGTCTCAGACTTCACTGTGGCAGCATGATCGCATGCAGAGGAGTCTGAGTCTGGAGCACCTCTGAGTCCAGCTGTGCACTGATGGAGGCAGGCTGAGGGCTCCTCCCGCCTCCATCGCTGCACCAAGTCAGACTCGTATCGCAGAGACGCTCCAGATTTAATCCTGGTGTTAAAGATTCCCGGGTCACTCGGGCGTCGGCGGTGCTGAAACTGGAATGTGAGCTCTATTTGAAGTGAGTGAGAGGTTTCCTGTTTCTCCTGCAGCTGAAGATGTTCTTCGAGGAGCACCTCCACCTGGACGACGAGATCCGCTACATCCTGGACGGCCAGGCCTACTTTGATGTCAGGGACAAGGAGGACCGGTGGATCCGGATCGCCATGAGAAAAGGGGACCTGATCACGCTGCCGGCGGGTATCTACCACCGCTTCACGCTGGACGAGATGGTACAAAAACACGCCTTGCCCCTGTACGCTGCGTATTTGGTTGCTGGTTTGAATCCTGACTGTCTGATCTTTGTTTCTGCAGAACTACACGAAGGCCATGCGGCTGTTTGTGGGCGAGCCAGTGTGGAAGGCTTACAACCGCCCCGCTGACGACTTCGAGATCCGTCAGCAATACGTGGCGTCCATGCAGGGATCCTGAGAGCGCCGCGGACGCCATTCCCACTGCAGTCAGAGCCTCTGCAGAAAAAGGCTGTCCAATCAGAGCAGAGAACGCTGATGTGGACGACGATGTAGCACGAAGACTTTAATTTCCGTTTCTACTTCTTAGACAGAAATGTTAGTTTTTACTGTGAGGAACAATCAGCCACAACATTAAGACCAGAGCATGACGTCACCGTGACATCACCACGAGTGCTTCACGACGAGACCATCAGCAGGTCATGGCGTGAGGGCAGCGTCGCCCTGCTGGCCGTGAGAGAATGCAGAGGTCAGGTGACTCTTAGACTGCTGCCCCTGACGCCGGGATAAGACGTGCAAAACTCCTGCCCGGTGAGCCTGGAGGCTCCGCCCCTCCACACAGAGGGTGGTTTGAATGTTGTAGCACAGCTTCCTTCATCAGGACTTTAACTCTTCTTTAAAGGTTCTCGTGATTATTCAGGATCCAGCCTGTTAGTGCCTTCCTGTCTCTGGATTAAAGGATCAATATGAAGCTGCTGTTTGTCATTTCTCCCCACGTCAAACACACACAGTGAGCTGTGCTTTCACATAAAACCACATTTTATTTCATTTACATCAATATGATCAGCACAGAAAGTAAACAAATCACTTAAATATAATAATTCCTGGTGAACTCAGAGGAAACCTGCTGCTGATATGTACATGTTGAACATGAGCGGCCGAGTCACTGAAGCTGTCCGGTCTGCAGATCATCAGGATAATGCCCGTCGGAGTGTCTGACATCCCGCCTGCAGCGTCCTGTCTGTTCCTCCCAAAACACAAAGTGGGCTGAGACTTGACTACAAATTAAAAGGTGAGCTGGGATAAAGCTGAATTAAACTGGACCCAGTTTAAGTTAAAATGTGTGATAAACATGAAGCCGTCTGACCAGGGAAACACCGATGTGGGCTTTTATCCTGGACTTTGCTCTGCACTGGGACTTTTATTTTGAAAAGTCTTCCTGCCCCCACTAATAAAAGTGTTGAACCTGGACACGCAGACGGGCTCTGGTGTGATTCAGCAGTCAGAGGGTGTGAGGACACGATTTTCGGGTTGCGGTTGTGCAGCGCAGGAGGACGCTGCTGCAGGCTTTGCTCCTGTGGGTTATTGTGAGGATGATGATGATTGGGTGCCCTTCATCTGTTTAGTGACAATAAAACTCGCTGTTTTGTGCCTGGGAGGTCAAACTAAGCTCCTCCTCTCAGACCAGCTTGAGGCACTGCGTGTTGAAGCTGTCGCCCTCCCGGCAGGCGACGGCCTCCAGCAGCGCCTGCTTCTTCTGCGTGCTGCGGGACGACTCCAGCTCGTACATGGTGGTCAGGTTGAAGAGGACGCTCTCGTGCAGGTACTGCGCCGGGTCCTGCTGCACCAGGCCCTCCAGCTGGCCCAGCGACTCCTTCAGGCGGCCCAGGTAGAGCAGGCACACCGCCGCGTTGTTGTTGGCCTGCGAACACACGGAGGAAGAGGAGGGTTTAACTGAGCACGCACCGGTGTAACAGTCTGAGACAAGACACTTTAGCCCCTCCCACTTTAAGTCTACTGACTGGCTGCTCTGAGCAGCACAAAACTATTTTGTTTCTAATGGCCGACACATTTAATGTTTCCTTCCTGTCACATGAGCCAGAGTAGACACACACCTCCTCCTGAGGAGTGATACGGCTGCAGGATGCAGCCCGTATGAAGAAAGTAGTTCCTACAGGAAGCTGCTCAGTCACCAGCTTGGCGGTGGTTGTTTGGCGCCCTCTGCTGGTGACACTTTATCATAAGCTAATAATACAGAGTGATGGTTATGATACGAGGACATGAGTGCAGCTCAAAAAATGACATTTTACTGTGATTTTATTGCTGATCTTCATCATCGTCGTCGTCACTGACGATGTCTGTGACACGTGACGTATCTGCCACACTGATCATCAAACTTCAATATTACACATATTAAAGTCTCAGGTGACCCGAGTACAAATGACGTAGAAACAAAGTGATCCACAGCAGCCTGCCTGTGTGCAAAAGTAACCTCACCACTGTAATGACTGCAGTCAGTGTATGTGAATCAATAAAGTACCCCACCAACAGCCACACCCATCTGTTCTCAGATTGGATTGTTACATCTGTAATTGACATGACATTGACCAATCAGCTGAAAGGAAGAATTCGTAGTGTAAGCTGAAGCAGGGAGTTTCACACGCAGTGTTTTACTTTGTTCCTGTCAGCAGACTTTCATAAAACAATTTGTAACTCGTGTAAATGTTTTTTAAACACACACTCTCATCTACAGATGCACAAACATAAAATATTCGGATATTTTGGGTTACAGGGTTACAAAATGCAGTTCTCAACTTTGATTTACAAGTACAAAACACTGACGAGCACAGTTCGAGCACAGAGGCGCCTGACCCACTCTGTGCACTGCTCTGGGGAGCGTTTGGAGGATGGCGGCGGTACGTACCACGGGGTTCTTTGGGTCGATCTTTAGCACTTCGATGAAGGAGGCGTGTGCTTCGGCGTAGTTGTTCTGACTGAGGTGGACGAAAGCCCTGAAAGCAGGAAACACATTTCAAACCCTTCCAACCTGCGTCGAGCGTTCAAACAGGTTTAAACGAGTTTACCTGCGTTCAGGTGAATCCCTGAACACAGACGAGCTCAGCAGCAACTAAAACAATCACTGCTTTTCAAAACTCTTTCAACACCTCAAAAAATGAAACTTGCAACAAGTTTTGACATCAAAGTCAAAATCATTAAGAAAATAAAAAAGGGGAGGGGCTCTGTTCAGGACCAATCACATTTATTCTCAGAGCAACCAGCCTCATCACAGCCTGATTAAACAGCAACAACCCCCAGGGGGCGCTACACACATTACAAAAGGCCTGTCATCAATCATCCATTGATCACAATGATTTCAATGCTAAGATAGAAAAAGCTGAAAAATAGGAACCACGATATGATTAATATTGATTAAGATGCCAAATGATAGATACTGACTGTGTGCGTGCTCGAACCCGGGGGAAGTCACGTGACTTCAGTTTGGCATTTGCCGAATAAATAAACGGACGCAGACGAGCACAGGAAGTACGAGACCGCTCTAGTTTCCAGCAGCTCTGCAGGTCTGTGAGGCGAGCGTCGGCGTGCGGGGGAGTCGGGTCGGCACAGACCTGCGACCTCCTCGAAATCGCACGCCGCTGAGGCATGAAGTTCACACGCTGCACAAGGCGCTAAATGAAACACAGACACACACACGCATGCAGGTACCTGTTCATTAACACGCATGTGGCGAGAGCCTGCTGGCTGCCTTTCACCGGGCCGCACTTCTCCACGTCCAGGAAGTAACGCTCTGCAGTTTGAACGTCTCCGATCTGTGAGAGGAACAGCACGTCAGCCCGACCTGTGTGTGTGTGTGAGTGTGTGTGTGTCTGTGAGTGTGTGTGTGTGTGT